TACCCGAAATCTTTTCAGCAACAGTGTTTACAAGCTTTGTTACAACATTTTTTGCAGAAGTAAAAATATTGATTGTTTCATAATTGGTCTTATTTTCATTAGGAATCTCATCGTCGGATGAATCATGGTCATCCTCATCTTCACTATCAAACTGTTCAACTTCTGTTATTCCGAAAACGCGCAACAAACTTAAGGGACAGTAGTGCTCAGAACCATAATACTTTTTGATTTCAATCTATTGGAAAAACAAAAAGAAATTAACTATTTAAAAACTATTGATGCTTTGCAATATGTTGCAGTTAACTTACAACTGTCAATATAAAAAAAATAAAATAAATGCATAAACATTTGCTTTTAAACAAATGAAAGTTATATATATATATATATATATATATATATATATATATATATATATATATTATATATATATATATATATATCAGGGATGCGGAGTCACAAAAAGAACTCCGTAACAAAAGTAACAAAAAGATTACTCTTCATCTAGTTTTTGGAATCCAGGAGCTCTACAAATATAAATAAGTTTATGGACTACTAATAGTAAAAAAATTAAGAATTTTAGGTTAGAGGAACAGCCATTTTTTGATCCCGGAGTCCTTAGGTATAATGCTGGAAAGGACTCTAGGACTCCAGGACTCTGGGCTTAAAAACAATAAGTTTCAAGTCATTAAATCTCATGAATTTTTTTCTTATAGCAAATCATAAGTCAACAAACATGTTTAGAGCTTCTGGACACTACAGACTTGGAAAAAGTAGAGATATAAAGCCAGAGTCTTTTTGGGACTCCGCATCCCATATATATATATACATACATATATATATATATATATTATATATATATATATATATATATATATATATATATATATATATATATATATATATATATATATATATATTTTAACTGTCTGGACCCGTAAAATATGGGTCTTGGTAAATCTATTCCACACCAACCTTTTCTATACTTATTCCTTACTTCAATATTTTTTAGTTGGTGGCAGAAAAATAACTATATACATATACGAAACTATACTTATTGTTTACTTTTTAAAGCTTTGAAAAAAAAAAGATTTAACTTTAAAAATCTTTAAAGGGATCCCAAACTCCCGACACATGTTGTGTTCATATTAAAGATAATGTTAAAAAAAAAGGTTTGGACAAAGTTTTTTTGATTAAAAATAAATAATGAATGCTTACCGTGAAAAACAAATGCTGTTGTTTTTGCCTTCTCTATTTTTTTCAATAAATCGGATTCTTCAAATTATGCGTCGCAATCTACAGACTTTGGCAATTCCTTTGAAGCGCGTTTAATTCATAAAAGTTTTAGTATTTGACGTCAGGGTAGACTTTTAACAAACGAAACTCTGGAAATATTTTTATTTATTTTTAGTCGAAGTTTTTTTGGTTATTTGTTTAGTTTTTTTTTTTTCTACTTTTAATATTTAAAAAGATATTAAAAACCTTAAATATTTTATGCTGGTTTGTTGCTATAAATTGTTATTGCGCTATATATTTAATGTTTATAAATTATAAATATTTATTATCTCAATTAAGACTCCGATAAAAAAATGTTTAACATTAATTACCCGTATAAAATTAGTAAAAGCATTATTATTTGGTTAGATAATATTTCGTCTCAATTTGCTTTGCATGAAGTTCGGAAAGTCAAGCGAAAAAAATTAGTTTGAATAATCATTTTGAAATATATTCAAAACAAATTATTTTAATGACGGGGATTTAAAAGTTTTTTATAATAAATGTAGGCAAAAAATAAATAATTAAACAAAAAGTTCAACATTAAACATCATTTCTGTATTATATTGCAACTGTAAATATTGAAATATTAACTTGAACTAAATTTACTTATTATTTAGAACGACTAAGCAATAAAAATAAAAAGCCCCTAAAATTATGCGATATTGTGTTGTTTATTTGATAATTGCTGTTGGTAATGTTGTTTATGTAGATTATTTTCATTAATATCAAAATAGTCCCAGATTAATCTGTTAGTTGCTTTGTTCATTGTTGCTTTATTTCTAATTTAATTTTATCTCTAAGTGTAAATTTATGTTAAGAAAGAAAAGTTTTTTTCATCGGTCGCTCTTTTTATAAGAGTAGAACAAAAGAGAAAGAAAAGTTTCGCGTAATTAAACTTCGAATGAATAAAAGAGTTGTATAGAATTTTTTTATTTTTTTTATTTTTGCGTCACTCGTTCTTTTTTTAGATGAGAGAAATAAAAGTTTAATAGTTTTATCCGTATCCAATTTAGCAAATTTAGCAATTTAAAATAAATCAGCGTAATCAAAAAATTTTTATAATAAAAAAAGTTAACAATTCATCATATATCTCTAATTAATACTGTCAGTTTATGAAATTAATTGTTAATACTTTTTTTCGACGGGAAAAGAAAAAATATCATAGCGTAAAAATAACCAGAGAAGTTAGAAAAAAGTTCCGATTGTTTAAATAAAAATAAGTAAGATTTAGAATATATAATACTGCGCTCTTTTGCACAAAAACGAGAGACCGTATACATAACGTTCTATATAATGTAAAACACTCGTATGAAAATCATAAGATTCGTAAGTAAAGCTTTAATATTTGTTTTAATTTAAATATAAGTAAGATATATAAATCGAAAAATTATTAAGATATCTGTAAAAAACAAGTTGCTCCTATCAAATAAAAATAATTTATCATTTTTTCTTTTTACAAATTTTTTTTTGCGATGTTTAGAAAAATAATACAAATAAATTTGTTTTGCTGTATATTAAAAAAATACTACAGTAGAAAAACGCAGCTTAGTTTAATTACACTTTTCTTGTGTTAAAAGTCTACTGTGACGTCAAATACTAAAACATTTATGAATTAAACGCGCTTCAAAGGAATTGCTAAAGTCTGTAGATTGCGACGCATAATTTAAAGACTCCGATTTATTGAAAAAAATGGAGAAGGCGAGATTCGGCTTATAAGAAAGAAACTAAGAAAGAAAAAGTAAATATGTAAAATTTGATAAAATTAACATAATTTGAAGATTACAGGTTAGTTATTAGCATAGGATTTCGATTAAAAAATTAAAAAATACATAGTATTTACAAATAAAAGTATATTCAATAATTATTTCATTTATGATAATGATTATAGAAGATTTAAAGATATTTCAGAAATTTATAAAAGTAAAATAAGAAATACAAAAAACTAATGGCGTGTACATCTGAGTATCATATCTACAGCGTGTATACATCATATCTACAATGTCTACGTCATATCTACAATGTAACGTGAGTATCATATCTACAGCGTGTACATTTATACATCATATCTACAATGTCTTGGGTCAGTTAAAAGCGTTTGAGTCCTTCCAATATTATACAGAGTATAAAACTATTTTGATAGTTATCTAAATTCTGTCATTGTTGCACACTAATTTTAGAATGATTAATGGGGGTGTGGTAAAATAGCTGTAAAACTTTAAATTTCCTTATTACCTTAATATTATGTATTTTTAACTTTTTATTACTTTTAAAAATTATAATTTTATTAAAATGGTTTATTTTAAATATAAAGTTAAAATTTTGAATTACGTTCTTAATAAAAACATATTTTTTAAACTCTTTTATTGTTTAAAAAAAGTGAAGGTCACCGCGTGGCAAGTTCAAATCATCAGCTTGCTTTTTTTTTTAAATATTTGTTATTTAAAATGCAAAACAAAACAACTTTCTTTCTTTCAAAACAAACTTTTTTCTTCAAAAGCGTTTTTGTATTTTAGAAAAATCGAAAAAAACTAAATTAAAAAAAAAAAAAAAGTCCATGGTAGGAATCTAACCTGGACTTCCTGCCTCAGAGCGATGCGTGCTAACCACTCGGCTTCGCAGACTTATTGTCTAAAGTAAATTTTAAAAGTATATAACATATTAAAGACTTTATCAAACGGCATTAAGTGCTACAGATCAAATGATACCACAATGCAATTTTCAAGTGAAATTAAAACTTAAAAACTTGATAAATGTTTTAGTATGTTTTTAACATTACATAATTTGAAGTAAGTTAGATATTTGCCTAAGTTTGATATTAGCATACACTTTTGTTAACTTTTCTTATATAAAAAAGTGCTATTACTATTTCTCGCTATTATCTCGGTTGCAATGGCTCCCAAGAGTATTGTGTCAAACAAGGATCAATAAGGATTGACATGTTCCCTATTATATCATAATATGATATATATATATATATATATATATATATATATATATATATATATATATATATATATATATATATATATATGTATATGTATATGTATATGTATATATATATATATATATATATATATATATTATATATTATATAGTTATATATACATACACATACACACACAAATATATTTGTTTACTAATTAAAAAATCTGCCAGGGCAAATTTTTGATAACAACTGAGGGATTGGCTTTAGGCACAACAACCAAAAAAGGAAAAACCATTATGGTGTTTACTAAAGTAGTAAAAACAAAAAAAATTAATTTAATTACACATTGTGAATAGTACTTAAAAGAACAAAGAGCTAAAAAGGTTGGAAAAAGGTCATTTCAAAGAGAAATAATAAAACTAAAAAATAATAAAACTAAAAAACATTTAAATGATGAAGAGAATCTTGTTTTGGAAGTCTTGAATAATTAAATTTAGAGGTTATGTAATATCTATATTATAATATGCATAAAAATTGATATGTATTAATTCATTTTTATTTTTACACTAATTTTTTTATTTATTTCTATTAATTTTAGTTTAAAATATTTAAAAACTTAACTTATTTTTTTAAATTATTTTGTAAAAATAATTTAAATAAATAAACTTAAGTTTCTAAAGCAAATGTAACCAATAAAGTCCTAAAAGAGTTTAACAGCCAACCAAAGAAGTTCTAGAAGAGTTTAACAGCCAATCAAAGAAGTTCTAGAAGAGTTTAACAGCCAATCAAAGAAGTTCTAGAAGAGTTTAACAGCCTAAGCTTTAAGTATTTTCCAACAGAGTTGGAAAATACTTAAAGCTTAGGTTGTTGTCAATGGCTATAGAAAATACTTGAGCAGATAATGGTCTATTTGTTAAAATAAAAAAAGCTATAGATAGAAAACTACATTTAGTTGGATGCCAAATTTACTTGATAGAAAAAGACAAAAAATAACAATAAAAGTGTAGATTGTTCATCTGTTTCATTATAAAAATTTGATCATTTGTAGATAAAAGTGCTGTTTCTGACTTAAGTAATGATCAATGAAAATTAAACATGATTAAGCTATGAGTATAAATATGAGTATTTAAACAAATATGTAATAACAAAACCTATACCTGCGAGCCATGCAAGATGGTTGACACTTATCTCACATATTATGTATAAATATACAAGAGACAAACCTGTCTCCAGAGTTGAACATGATAAATGAGTATATAGTTCAAGTATATTCTTCAATGTCAGCTATAAAAAGATCAGGTCATTATAAAGATTTTTTAAACAAGTGAGCTGACTAAACTGCAAAATAGAAAAATGAAAAAAAATTGTCTTTAGAAATTTAGCTAAAATTCAATTCAAGGTTATCGATTAGAAATTAATTTCATGGTTTTGGATGATGCAAAAAGAAATCTAGACAAAGCTATAGTCAAAAAATCAAAATTAAGAACAAAAATAAAAAAAAGATTAAGTTTGAAATCACAAAGATGAAAAAAATGAAGATTTTGTGATCTAATAGTGGAATTTTAACAATGAAATTAAACACCGTTTATTCTTTAATTACTCTAACACTAATTGATTATTGTGATTTTTTTTACACAATGAAGCAAATGAAACTAAACTATTTATATTTATTTACTCATTTATTACTCAAAAGACTTTGATCTTGTATATAAAAGATTTTTGATTTGTATATAGAAGAATGCTTGAAGAAATCCCTTTAACATTTCATTAAAAAGCATGTTATGCCCACTATATTTTGGCCTAATTTGGCTACAATTAAGATGGCATTGAATTGGTATTTAAGGAAGCAAATCATCTAAATTATAGATTAGTAGGACAATTAACAATCATGAGGTTCAAATTTTAAAAATTCATTCCATCCTATGCTTCTGGAAGTAACACATCCAAACTGTTGGTCTTCACAGCAGCTCCTGTTTCAGTGTTCAGAATTAAAAATTAAAAAAACAAAACAAAACAAAACAAAACAAAAAAAAAAAAAACACAAGTACCCTTTTTAACTAAGGTTAAAAAGATACACAACATATAGAAAGTAATAGTTAAACAAAATGTATATGTTATGTTGATTGTATATCATTTAAAGCTATTGTTTTGTTACTTTCTATTTTTTCTTTAGTATGATCTGTTAATTTCTTTAATAGATTTCATTGTATTTTGTAATTTTTGTATATTTACATATTAATATTTTGTACACAAATAATTAAACCTTTAGTTAAATCTTTAAGGCAAGTTTGTGAAGTGTAAGTGTGAAGTGTAAGTGTGAAGTGTAAGTGTGAAGTGTAAGTGTGAAGTGTAAGTGTGAAGTGTAAGTGTGAAGTGTAAGTGTGAAGTGTAAGTGTGAAGTGTAAGTGTGAAGTGTAAGTGTGAAGTGTAAGTGTGAAGTGTAAGTGTGAAGTGTAAGTGTAAAGTGTAAGTGTGAAGTGTAACTGTGAAGTGTAAGTTTAAAGTGTAAGTGTGGATTGTAAGTGTGAAGTGTAAGTGTGAAATGTAAGTGTAAAGTTTTTGATTTGATGTCATTTTTTTTTATATACTTTAAAAAAACATCTTAAGTACAATATAATTTGTAATTTTTAGAATAAGTTTAACAACTGCAAATAAAAAAAACATTGCATACATGTATTTAGCAGCCAAAATTTTGAAAAATTTCAATGAAAAGATTGTTGGTCATTTATTTAGCATAAATCTTTTAAAGATTTTTATTTGTAAAAAAATTGATGGAATGCCTTTTTTCTTAAATTTTGCAGATTAGAAAACTAATTATGTCAGATTCATACAAAAAATCATATTTTTAAAATGTTTTTATGTCAATTCATGCACTGACATAAAAAAGAAAGAATTAATTTTATCTTATTTTTTATTACACTTTTTGGTATATCCAGAGGTGGAAAGTAATGAATTACATTTACTCATGTTTCTGTAAATGAGTACTTTTTTGTAAATTTTGTACTTTTTAAGTATTTTTTTAAATGTGTACTTTTATTTTTACTTAATTTTTTAATATATTTTTTCAAATTATTTTACTTCGCTACATTTTAAATCATATATGCTACTGATTAAAAAAACTTATTACGTATTAGTATTATTTATTATCACAAAAAGTATGCTTTAATTCTTTTTGATAAAAAATGGCGCTTTTTTTATAACTTTGTTTTCTAATAGTTTTCACTAATGCTTCAAGTGAAGTTAGGGGTTGTTCACAAATTTGGTCACATGATAGTAAGGGAGAGGGAAGGAGTTAGCAATTTTGTGACAAATTGTAACAAAAGGCAGGAGTATTAAATTATATAATGCAATTTTTTTTTTTAGTTTTAAATTTAGATAGCGCTTTCTTTTAATTAATAAAGTGCCTAGCCAAACATAAACCCTCTGCTGATGTATGTACACTTGACTACAGTTATTTTAATTTAAATTTAATTGGAAATGACTTTTTAAATTGACTTTAGTAGATTAAGACTCAGCTGCGTTGACGGTCTTATAAAGTTATGATAGTGACATCCAAAAATAAAGAATAGATAGTGACATCCACAACACTAACTTATTTCTTATGAAGTTATTTAAGTTATGTTTTTATCAAAAAAAAAATTTATCTTTGAATCTTATTTGCCTGTCAACTCACTGCTTATTTGTATGCATTGAAGCACTTATTCTGTAACACTTTGAAAAATATAAACAATAAACAAATATAACTGTTAATAAACAATGTTAATTGTTTATTAACAGTTATAAGAAAGATTATAATTAACAAATAAGAAAGATTACAATTCTAAGCGTTAGCAGGGCACTGCTGACGCTTAAAATTGTAATCTTTCTTATTTGAGTTTTGAAGAAAAAAATTTAAAATAATTTTAAAAGAAAATTTTAAAAAGCTGATTAAAAAGTAACTTTTACTCAGAGTCCATTCTTAATGAACTTTTTACTTTTATTTGAGTAAATTTTTCGACCGGTAACGCTTACTTATACTTGAGTAAAATTTCACTCAAGTAACAGTACTTCTACCTGAGCAAAAAAATTTAGTTACTTTTTTTACCTCTCAAGATATATTTTGGCTTATTTATTTTTTTATTTTTTTGGTTTAACTATTTCATTTACTAATTATTTATAGTAGCATTTAATAACTCAAAAAAAAAAAAAAGTAAATAAAATCTGAGGGAAATGAAATTAAACATTTGCAATAATTAAATTGTAAAAAAAACTGTAAATTGCAGTTACAATAAAATATATAAAAGCTGTAAACTGTGATTTATAATTATTTATACTTCATATTTATTATATGTAAGTTTATATATTAAAGTCAAAAAAAAAAAAAAAAAAAAAAAAAAATTAATTATAAATAACCATAACATGTGTTTTATTTAATATAACAATTTAAATATTTTGCTCAAGACACTTACACGTTTATCAGGTCCCTAATATTGAAAAAATGTCATAATGGGTCTTATTTTTTGTTAAAATATCAAATGTTACTTGTTAAATGTTAAAAGTCTAACTCATAATATTCAAAGAGTTGTTCAAAGAGAAACCTAACTCATAATATTGGAACAACAAAAATAATTACAAAATTACTCTAAAAATATTTATAGTATAAATTAAAAATACTTTAAATGTTAAATAAATTAATAATACTTTAAACATAATATTAGTATAATACCTTTAAATATTTTGCATAATATTTTTCATTAAAAGTGTAGGTTTTTACTTCTTTTAGGGGAGTCCCTTGAAATGTACCTACACTCTCCCATTCACGTGATGGGTATCGACTGCTTATATAAACATCAAAAGATTCAGGGCTTGAAGAAAACATTTCAAAATTGGCTAAATCGATAGAATCCAACTCAATGCGTTCACAAAGCTCCACAACAAACCAAGCCTTTACATTACAAGGATTTAACATGTATATATCTTTGTCTTCTTTTAAAATTGCAATTTGATTTGTTGCTTCTTCATTAGCTGCAATCACTTTAGCACCACACTCAATTGAAGCATAATTCTTTTTTATAGTTCTTTTAGAATTTGTTGGAGCTTTTTTCTTCTTTGTGTAATTAGTTTTTACAATGTCATTTCCATCTTCTTCCTTCTCAGTATCTAACTTCTTTTTCCATTCAGCAAAAGATAGCATTTCTTTCTTTGAAATATGTGCATCAGCATTTTTTTCCATATCCATCTTCAATTCTTTATCCATTAGATGAATTAAACTTTGATCTAACTGAATGACATCATCAGAACTATGAACTATATCATCTGTATTATGCGTCTCAATGCTTGTACCAAAACGCAAAGGCATATTTAAATCATTTGGAATCTCATTATCATTTTGAATATAAAAATCTGCTTTCAATTTTTCTTCTGGAAATACTTGATTGATTGTGTCATCTATCTTGAGGATCTGTGGATCAGGTTCATTAAAAGAAAGTTTTTCACGAAACCTTAACTTTTGACCTGCCTCCGGCATTTCGTTATTAGATAAAATATTGTCATTAAAGTCAATTTTGCTTGGATTTGAATGAGATGGTAGATTAATCTTTTTATCATCGATGTCAACAATCAGATTTTTTCTAGGAACAACAAAAGTAATTTTTTATCATACTTTTTTATCCTTTTTTTAATCATAATTAAAATAATAATAAATAAAAAACTTTTTTCCATTTAAAATTTTTTTTAAAACTACCTTTCTTCATTCTGATTTTTTTTGTCAAATATTTTTTTTTGCTCAGCTTCATCAAGCATAGTGCTAACTTTTATTTGGGATGTATCATCTTTAATTACTCCATTTTCTAAAGTATTGCTCGAAACAACAGGTACTTTGAATGCATGAGAAGAAACAACTGAATATAAAGGTACAAACACAGAAGATGGCAAAGGTGTAGCAGGTGCAATTGATGGTTTGATGTTAGTAAAAAAGATGTCATCATCATCATCAACAATACTTGTGACTTCAATTAAAGTCTTGTGTCCATTCTAGAAAAAAAACAATTTATATTTTATAAAAAATACTTAACAATGGGTGTAATAAGGTAGGAAGGAGTCAACAAGTAACAAATATTATTAGATGGCTTTAATTTAGTAAATTTTAATTATTTAAAATTTATTTTTTTAATTAATTAGTCTACAAATCAGAAAAAAAAAATTGATATAAACAAGGCAAGAGAAATTAGGTTTACTGATAACAAAACAAAATTTACAGTTATTGTGTTAATGATATTTTATCTTAATTATTACTTGTTTTATCTTATTTAATCTTTTTTTTCATTTTATGTTTTTATTTTAAACATTAATAATAAAGCTTTTTATACTTTTATAGCTATGTTATAAAAATTTGATCTTTTTTTAGCAGATACTGATTAACGAAGTGTTTTCATAAATATTATAATGAGAGTGTTGTACTTTATTTATATATAACTCTTTATAACAATGCTTTCAGACCTGTTGCTTTTTTAGGATAGGACTCATTATTTCTAGGCTTTTCTAAATATGTTTTTTTAAGTTCACACATCTTTTCAAACAAGGTCTACAAGCAAATTAGAGCTGATCTTAGCTTTCAAGGAGAATTGGTGTTGTTCTTTGTTTAATTTAAATTGTTTAATTAGCAGTTTCAATAAATAAACATTTAAATAAGAATAAATATTCAGACAGTTGATTTGATTCTGATTTGAGTGAATTTTTGTTATGTATTTAACAGTAAAATAAGACTGTTATTTGTTGACATGTGAGTTTATATACATAAATGTGTGTGTATATTATATACATAAATGTGCGCTCGCTTCATAAACGAGTGGTTCCGAGTTCGATCCCCACCACGTCCCTGGTAGTACCGCGCTCAACTCGTTTCTCCGCGCAGCGGCCTTGCTCGTCAAGGTTCGTGTTTCGGAGTTATAGAGTTGAGAGAGGGTTATAACCATAATTAAGTAGCCTCCTCGTCTGTAGTGGCCTTCTCGGCCTTGAGGAGGTGAATTAAAATTAAAAAAAAAAAAAAAAATTTTAGTATATTTTATATTTTCTGTACATGTACATTTTCTCTTACCAAAAATAATGAATTAAAAAAAAAAAAATTCTGCAGGAAGAAAAAAAAGATTATGCTTCTCCATGTTTCTTTGTTTAAAGTAATTTTTAAAGATTCTTTTTAAAGGCATTTGAATGTATGCAGGCCTTGCAATAAAGCGTCAGGCGATGTGAATTTTACGTCGTCCAAGAGCGATTTTGCGTGTAGCTAGGGCTATTTGCGTCGAGCAAAAAATTTTTTGTTTGAGTATATTTAAAGATATTTTTGAGCAGAATTTTAATGAAGTAATTTACAATTATTTTAACGTTTAATAAAGTGTTTTAAAAACCGCACGCAGTTGATATAAAAGTTTGAATTACAAAAAAAATAAACATGCTCATTATTTACAAGTAGAAAAAATTCAGATTAAAAAAAATCTTTTTAAGCTAACATTTTAATAAAATTATTCAGCAATAGCAAAGTTGTCGATAAAATTAAACAAAAATACTTTCTTTTAGTTTTAGATTTTTAACTTAAATAATTATTTTACGGGGGTTTGTTAGGTTTTAAAATTATTCCATAGATTTAAAAATATTTATTAACTGTTAGACGAATTTAGAGTATTTAAGAGTAATTTCGAGGAAACATTTTAAAAATTGGTAAGCGCAAATAAAAAAAAATAAAAGGATTAATATTAAAACGTTTTCTACTTGATTCAATAAAAAGTACAGTTATTAAAATTTTTGTAAAAAGTAACTAGAAAAAAATTACTTAAATAATAACAATCGCTTTTTTGTTAAGTTACCGAAACTCAACGAAGCGTGCTCAAGAACAGCTGCTGAAAAATAGAACATCAATAGTTTTTCGAATAATTTTTAATAATAATTTTTAAGAATAATTTTTTGCTGAAATATTTTTTTTATACCTAAAAGATTTTTATTCTAACATTTTATTTTACTTTACCAAAAATAAAATTCCTTGTAAACATTAAAAATCTATTCAAAACGTTCGTTAAAGTTTTTTAATAATACGAGTGATTGTGTATATTAACCGCTTTATAAAAATAAATAAAAATAAATAAATAAAAAAATATATAAAATCGCTAGTAAAAATATTAGCTATTGCACAGTTTTTAATCGTACAATATTAAAATTTCCAGTTTATTACTCTCTGACATTTTAAAAAGAAAAATCAATTATTTGAAAAACTTATGTTTTTTATTCGTTTAGTATAGACAAAACGTGTCAAACGTCGAGAAAATAAACAAATGTTTTTACATTTTAAAAAGCGAAACATTCCAAAACATTTTTAAATAATAGCATTTCTACATTAATGATTTAAAGTAGTTTTGCGGTAATTAAGTAAATTGGTGCAGTTAATGTCAATAAATATGAAAAGCAATTAAAAAGAATTTAATGACGTCAAAAATCAGGTCGTGCTTAAGCGTCGCGCAGTTTTTATTCATCACAAGGCCTGTGTATGTATATTAAAAATTGTTAAATTTGCTGTAAAACTGTTTCTTCTTTCTTTTTTACTTTAGGCAGAAATAATACTGACTGACATTGCTTCACTTTTTTTAATAATGTAATGCATTGTAGTCTGCATTTTTTACCAATATTACTAAAATTACCAATACCTCTTTGTTATTAGACTCAAATAGACTAGGATTTTGTTAATTTTTATTTCATTTAGATTGAATATTATCATTTGATTTTGTTTTTGTTTTATCTGTTTACAAATATGTTTTTAAAAATATGTTTTTTGTAACTTGAGAATAGTATATATTTTTATTCAATATAATTTTGTCTCTAATTGTTTAATATAGTTTTCTTTTTTTTTTAATTTCTTTAATATAACAGTGATTTATACAAGTAGATTTTATAGAAAAGGTCACAATTCCATCCTAAAGATTTTTTTAAGTTTCTTTGTTACTACAGTAATAATACTACTAGTAATATGTTTAATGATAATAGTAAAATTGAAATGGATGATTTTAGGCTCAAAGAATTTATTAGTGTAAATGCTAAATAAAAAATAGCTTAAAAAACTTAGTAAACTTGAAAACAATTGTCGTCAAAACGTAAGTGATAGAGATGAGGACAATGTGGTTATGCAAGTTGAAAATAATTGTCACAGATATCAAAGAAATAGGCTTAGGCAAGATGAAACTAATCATCTTTAAAATGTTCTATATGCTGCTAGACAAGTTAAAATGCATTGTATACAGAAGTAATACAGTCCGCGCCAAACAAATAGCCCACACTATAAATATAATATATTTTATTCATTTTATACTGTTTTAAACATTAAAATATCTAAAAATAGTCGTAATCAGAGAAGTAACAATAAATATATCATTTTTGGCGCAAAATGTTTTCCTGCGTCAAATATGGTAGACCATACGATTTTTTCTGGTGACAAACAAATAGCACACACCAGTTATTTAACATTTGACTGCAACAGACGAATTGCTAACGCTAGGTAAGTGATACACACATTAACGTAGACCAAAGGGCATATGTGGACCAATCATGTGTTATAGAGGACTACTATGGAATGTGAAACTTTAAAAGTTAAATGCTCAAGAAGTCACTATAATCAAGGCATTCAAGGCTGCCAATTTATCAACGTCTGAGATATCGAGACATACAGCAAAGTTGGAAGGTGATCAAAAAGATTTTGAAGGATCCTGATACATACTTGAAAACAAAATCCAACCAAATTGCTTCAAAATTAACCAAGCGTGACAAATGTCACATACTACAATCTCTAAAACCTGCTGAAATGGTTTGTGTGCTATTGGTTTGACACATGACATATTTTTCATTTTATTCATTTTTTGTTTTTTACATGTTTTAAAAATGAAGCCAATATTTCCTTTTTTTAGCATTTTATTTCTTGTGTTAAATTGTGTTAAATATGTATTAATTATTGTGTTAAAACTTTCATACACCTATTTTTATACCTAAATTATTGCATGCGCTATTCATTTGGCGCAGACTGTACTATTCCAGATTATAATTTTGAAAAGAAATGAACCAGATCTGTCAGCATAGTGGTGCTAAAAGATTTACTAATAAAAACATTTTTTAAGTTGCCATAATGGAAAGGTAGTTTCCAGCTTCCACTTTCACTATTTTTAAAAGCTTTACAAGATTTATTTACAGGAAGTTATATAGATCATAATTTCAACATGAATTTATTTAAATATATTAAAAATTATTTGTATCTTTTTTTTGCTTCATTTACAGCTAATGAGGTTCAACCTATGAATTATGGGCGGCCATGTTTTAGAATATGTGGTCAAGATTTTCATTGTTGAGACCAGATCAAGATAATCCTCAACATTGAATATCTTCCTGTCAACTGAATATCTATGACCCATTTACAGCAGAATTTTAGAATGCAACAATGTGTCAATGATCTTTACCTTCATGATTAATTTTTCATTTGCAAACTTTAGTAAGTGAAGAGAACTCATTTGCTCTTGCATTTAGAAACATGGCTGAAGTAGAAGCTATAGAACTCAGTTTCAGTTGTAAAAACGTCTTTATTTGAAGGGCAAGACACAATCATATACTATGGTCAAAAAAGTTATGAGATTTTAATGGCTTGGAAAAAGCAGTCAATTTTGAATGTTCTCTCTCTTAAAAGGCAGCATGGTGCTCCTGTTTTTTTACTCCTCTTTCCATTCTATAGCTCTATAAATCTCTTATTTATCCTTGTATGGAATACTGTTGTCATATTAGGGCTGATACTTCTAATTATGCTCATTCTCTTTTAGACATAATCCTAAAATACATTGTAAATGTAGTTAGACCTGCTCTAGCTTCCAAGCTTGTGCTCAAGTCCCATTTGTCATATGGTTGCAATTTTTTTTATTTTCTACAATTACTACCATAGTCACTGCTCAAGTGATGTACATCACTCACATATCTCTTGTTCAATTCAAACAACTCAATTTGTTCCAACACAAAAC